ATCATGTGAAATTTCGTCTGTCATGCTCCTCATAAAAGTGTTGGTAATATGTAACGTTATCTACTTTGCTCTCAAGCTTGAGTCCTAAGGGCTCGGAAACTAGGCAGAATTTGAACTTACCATGTTAATTGTAATATACACTACAGATATTGCATTTATCATGTCAAGTTCACATGCTATTGTATATTGATTAATGCTCTCGACCAATCTGCTTTTTCATAATTAATGAATTAGAGACCTAGTTGATCTCTTGCCTCTGAATTTTTAATAGCAGCAACCGCCCCTGCTCCTGGAGAGGCCACCTTGCAAAGTCAAAATATGCCTGAAAGCAGACCTCTGGTATGTATATATATGATATCTTACCTTCATTTAATTCTTTACTTGAACAGTTGGTTCAACCCTTTAACTCCTATGTGAGTGACAGAATTACTCCTTACAATATCAGACGGCGAGTACAATATCAGCATCAGGTAGACAAGTGACAAGAATAAAGAAAAATATCAGTTAAGGGATTATTTCTAAGATCCAATACCAAATTTTCTGACCAAACATCACAAGAGTGTATGGCAAACAGTAGGGAGTCAGAATAACTAAATAAGGACATCTTGGGAGTAAAAGGTTTAATAATGAATAATTTCATAATGATAATAATTTATTTCTTATAGAGCACTATTTACAATGACAGATCAACAGCGCTTTACAATTAAACACGAAGGCGCACTATAAAAGGAGAGGTCCCTTAGGTGCCTGCTAGACGAACAAAAGGAGCTAATGAGATGTTTACTTCCGCCAGCATGGTGGCAATGATGTAACGTGTGAACCACCTACTTCGATTTCAAATTTACTGCCACATTAAACACAGTTTCCATTGGAGAAAGGAAATATACAAATCTCAAAAATTCTTGTATTGTGATGAAAACATTCTGAAGAATGCGCCCGCTGTTCACTGCTTTAGATTAGCTCTAGCTCGAGCTGACTTGACTCTTAGAGTTCTACGTCACACGACAGGTGATTGACAAATGGTCCAGAGGTACCTAAGGCACCTCTCCTTTTATAGTGCACCTTCGTGTTTAATGTCTCTAAATATTAATCCACCCATCCCACCCCAGGGGAGGACATCCATCACACAGTAATCTTGTGCATGGGAAATTAACGTCTCCTGCCCCTAACCCTGCAGGAGACGGGACCTCCATTTATTCGTCCCTATCCGAGAAGACTAGAATATCTAACCATTTCTTGAAATGGTTAGATGTTCTAGGTAGCATATTCTTCTCAATTATTTAAGACCTTGAGTGTTAGTCCAGCCGGGGCTCGAACCCTTGTCCTCCCGTACAACAGTCCAGCGCTCTATCCATTGAGCTAACTGGGAGGCGGTTTAATTATAGATGCCTAATGGAACCAATGATAATCCTCTGTAACAAATATTTCTACATGAACGCGACGATTTCCTTTCCAAAAGCACATGGGGAATAATGCCCAGATGTTTTACGTAAAACATAGGCCCGCAATGGGAGCCACAAGTACATTAAATTAAGAATTTCTTTTACTAAAGGATGGAAGTTTGTTGCCATCCCAAGGACCATGTCTACATGATTTAATCCAGAACCCTTTGTAATACATGTAATACATATACAGATGCGATAGTTATTTGATATTACCACCACTTTCCCCCACCTCATTTTTCTCTTTTGTTTGTATTTTTGATATATCTGTTATTTCAACTAATAAGCTTCCTCATGTACACAGAATTATAATTTGGTGCAAAGTTCTCATCTTTTGTCTTTTTTTTTTTTTTTTTGCAGTCTGGGTGGTCAGATCCGTCAGATTCAGTACACAGACAATCTGACAGGGCTGAAGGTATGTGGCCTTTATTTTGTTTCTTGAGTCAATATTAACACTAAGATATTGTTTATAATGTTGCAATAATTGCAGGTGGGAACAAGAGTGAGTAAGGCCTTGGTTACCACTTAATTTAAGTCTAAGAGTGAAAAATTTAGGGAAAGTCCTCATGACTTGGGGAAAACTGAAAACCAATGGCTAAAAACAGAAAATCTTCAAGGAAAAACTGGAGATGGGCAGCTTCACAAAGATGTATGGAACAGACAAATATATGACTGTATTCTGTTCATTTCATTAGAGGACAATTTCAACATGATAAGTCTTCAGAGCTATAAGTAAATTGTAAATATGTTTGCACTATCAAAACTGATTATTTTTGCTTTTCCATGCTTAGTCACTGAGTAACATTACGTTTTCTTGCTTATTTACAGTTGTTGATGGGATAGCCCCAGTTCCAAGTCCACTTGAGGTAAATGCGTTATCCTGAGATTGAATTTTTTCCATTCAACAGTGGAATGAAGAAGACTTCTCAAGACTCGACTTTGGATTTCTTTTGATTTATATCAAAAACCTTTTTCCAAAATTTGAGGGGGAAAAAGAACCTCCCAAAAAAAAACCTCCCAAACTGAAAAATGGACAAGAAAAGGCAGCAAAACCGAAGATCCACATTGTTGGATATAGAAAATCATCTCGTAGATTATTTAGTATATTAAATTAAGAATTTCTTTAACTAAAGGATGGAAGTTTGTTGCCATTCCAAGCACAAGGTCAACATTCATCACCAAAGTTCCAAACATTAAGAACAGGTTTTTTAAAAATTGGATTTTGAGACTAAGTGCATCAGTGTTGAATGTGTGATGTATTGTGTTCAAGGTGTAATATAAGGGGAAAAGATTCTTAAAATAATTTTCTTGGCATTTCCCTACTTAGGATCTGGATATCTTTGACACATTTTTACATTTTGCAAGTGGCACAGGTAAGCGAAAAACCATACATTTCAAAAGAGTAATCTAAGGAGGTGACCCCTGGCCCTTTTTGTTAAACACCACCAACCTGACTTGCAAAGGGATTGCTCACTTTTTTAAAGAATTTCATCAGATTAAAGTATCTGTAGCTCCCATTGCGTACCTATGTTTTACGTAACACATCCAGGCAATCTCCCATGTGCTCTTGAAGAAGAATTGTCGTGTTCATGCTGGGATTTTTTTTACCGTGAATACTGTTAATTGTTGATTAGAAACTCCAAGCTTGAACAGTTGGTTTAGTTTTCGATTTCAATCATTATGTCTTTCTGCGAAATATGCAATAGTATCACTGTTTACACTAGACCACATACTGACACTTACAGCAGTGTGTATTGGTATCTTTACAGCTGTATAGGTACTGCAGGTATCTTTGATAGGTTAGAGTTAATTACAAGTCAGCGTAGAAGAAAAAATGGTAGAGATGTGAAGGTGGGGTTGACTTAAGTTCCTGTCATTTTTCCTATTTGAAATTTAGATGATTTGCCAGAACTTCAAAATTTTGAAGACATTGAGCCAATGGATACATCACAACTAATGAACACCAAGCCTTTTGGTGATGAGGTACGGAAGATCAGTTACCATTGTCATTACAATCGTTATTGTTATTGCTATTATTGTTATTATTATTATTATTATTATTATTATTATTATTGTTGTTTTTAATTAGTAGAAACACAAGTGATTTGAATGTAGAATGAAACACCACCTTGTACGTAGCTGAAAAGAGTGGAAAATTGGAAGAGTTTGTGTGGATCGAGATTGCATTATCTCTTCCCCTTGGAGGGTTTACCATTGACTATTCTGTTGCGCCTGAGTGTGGAGGTGGCACAGCTCAAACCAACTTTTCAACTCTGAATCATTAGTTGGTAGTGTTTGTAATTGGGGACTACATACCTTGATTATTTTTTAATGATTAGCGATTTAGTGATTTTTTTAGATTAAAAACTCCTTTCGGGATAAGGTTTAAAAGCTTCATTCATAATTTGAGAAGAGGGCATGATCTAGCTAGCAGATATATTATGCACACAGAAGCCAGGAAATTGTGATTAACATGACCGGTTTATGTTAATGCAAAAACCACATTGGGATTGGAAGTCTCCATGTGAATTATTTGTCAACAATTTTTCCAAGTGCTATGTTTTAAAAAAGATTTAATCCAGAATCCTTTGTAACACATATACAGATGCGATAGTTATTTGATATTACCATCACTTTCCCCCACCTCGTTTTTCTCTTTTGTTTGTATTTATGATATATCTATTATTCCAAGTAATAAACTTCCCCACATGCACAGACTTGTAAATTGGTTTAAAGTTCTCATCTTTTTATCTTTTTTTTCTTTTTGAAGTCTTGGTGGTCCGATCCCTCAGATTCAGGACACGGACAATCTGACAGGGCTGAAGGTATGTGGCCTTTTTTTTGTTTCTTGATCTAAAAAAATAGCCAAAACCACGAAACTGAAACTCCCAAAGCCACCTCCTGTCACTATGAATTAAATTATGAGTGAAGGAAAAACTGGAGATGGGCAGCTGCACATAGATGTACTCTGTTCATTTGATTAGAGGACAATTTCAACGCGATCAAGGCTTCAGAGCCATCTAACTTAACCGGTGCCTTTAAAAGTACACACAACCCACAATTCCTCTATTCGCTCCGACGAAGGGCTAACGCTCGAAACGTCAGCCTACTCCCATCGTTACTCCCACCGACGCAGCCCCAAACAGTTTCTTTCGAAACTATCAGCCTTTAACCTAAATAATGCAGAGGCCCAGCTATTACTATGTATAAAGTTCAGAGCTTCACGGGCCTCTTTGTTTCCTTATTTTTCGAGTATTTTTTAACCCCTGAAGAGAGGATCAAGCCATTAATAAGAGATTTCCTAATTAAGTATAAGTGCCACCATTGAAATAAGTTTCATACCTAAGTTACGATTATTGTCATTCTTTAGAGAGAAGCCAGGAAGAAATCCCATCAGTTCCTAGTGGTGCATGTCCTCCGGTTTGTATCTCAAATCTTGGTGCTGACTTGACTAATAGAGACACTCCTGATAAGAGTTTCCTCGAAGCCACAACTTGTGTTTATTTTAAATCGCGGGCCGCTGCTATAATTATTTTTCGCTCCGTTTTCACTTCTATTCTTTGATCGTGCCTTCTCTTTATTGTACGTACAGGTCAGATTAGAAGCTAGGGAGTTTGAATCATGTAAGTAAATCGCAAATACGTTTGCACTGATCAAAACTGACTATTTTTGCTTTTCCAGGTTTAATCAATGAATAACATTACGTTTTCTTGCTTATTTACAGTTGTTGATGACATAGTCCCAAATTCAAGTCCACTTGAGGTGAATGCGTTATCCCGAGATTGAATTTTATTCCGTTCTCAATTTACCTTTGAAAATGTGGAGACGAGCCCCTAATCTCAGGGAAAATAATTTCCCTTACTTAAAGATGGCCTAAGTCAAAAATGACTTCAAATCACTATTTTACCATACCCTAATTCAGTCTTTTAAGTTAGAACTCTAAGAGTAGTGTGAAAATAATGACATGATTTATTTTCAGGGCGGCGCGAGTTTTATCTTGGATATGAGTGAAGCCCTACCTCCTGATATAGAGTCCGGTTTCGCCTTCTTTGGAAATGTTCACGTTGAAGTAAACAGAAATGGACCGATACTGACGGGGATAGTTCCTCGTGAGTTGAGATATTGTTTCAACTTTTTGATAAGGACTGACTGCATTGCTTACTATTGTCTTTTAACGTACTTCCATCGATAAATACAAATGGGATAAAGCACCAAGATTTATTAATAAGCCTTGTCTCAAAAAATTAGACATACGTGGCCGCAAGGTCTGTGTACTCATCTGTTACAAATTTTGATTAATGATGGGTCAAGGCTTCGCTTATACCTCTGCATAGTTTTTTTTCCTCCTTTAGGTGGGGGGGGGGGGCAAATTTCCATTTCATTTTTAAGAAATTGCACTGAGTAATGAGCATCCATCGAGATTGCTTTGTATGCACGGTGCTTTTTACACACGAACCGGTGTGACAGTTCCGTTTGGGAAAATGTATCATTCAAACATCTTCAAGAAAAGATGATTTTGGGAAGCATTGGGTTCTGATAGTCATTTTCACTGTCTTCAAACCATTAGATATATACATAATCCAGGAAAACTTCACAATCGTTAATTGATTTTGATCGACCTAAAGGTTTTCAAACCACGCTAACAATGCATCGGTTAAATCGTGCACCATATTCTATTTCTGCTACCTTCAATGCTTTTTGACTCTGCGACGGAATGAAATAAGTCGGAGCTCATGCTCTAACGTCGAGTCTTGAAGTTATGCCCATCTGCCTATCCTCATATTGTTTAGCTATAAATGGCGAGTAAGCTCTGGGTAGATCATGCGCTTCTGGAAGTGAAATAAACTTAGATAGAAATGTCCTAATATTTTCTTTTTGTTTTTTATACATTTAAGCTTATCACAAGGCTGGTCCCGTTACTGTTACAGTGAAGTCCACATCTGGGATACTTCTTGGAAATATTCCGTTCGAGTATATAGACCACGAAAACAATTTTCTGAAACAAATGGTGTGTGACCCCAAGTCGCGACGGAAATTGTTTTTGATAATGGCTGAAAGAGAGCAACAGCCCAGTTTACATCCCCCTCACACGGACCCAACAACAGGTGAGTTATTGTATCATTTATGATCTTTTGGAGTGCAAAGAACACTATTATTTCATGTCGAATTGTACTTACAGACCACTGTAGTTTCTACTGAGGGTCGAAATAGAAACTTTTGGTAATCAGGTGGAAGAAACTCTTAAATATGCTTTTGACCAAGGCCTTCACAGCGCTGTGGTCTAGCAGCGCCCCGTGGCCCCTGGTGCCTTACTTTTGCCCTTGGGCGACTCGGGAATCTTAATTTTTTTCATGAAAAGCATATGCTGGGCACCCTGGATTTCACAGTTTCAGAGGACTGGGCTCCCTTCAATTTTTCTTAGAGCACAGCCTTGCTTCAGAAAAGTCCTGAAACAGGATTTATGTGGGCCATGGAGGTTCCGAAGGATGAGCGTTTTATGGCCTGAACTAGCTGTAGCAAAATAAATACCCTAATCATTTATGAAAACATGATCTGTCACCAATCTTGGTTTTGTTTAGTCATGCGAATCGTAATTTGTAACCAAACAGTTATAATCGTCACCATTCCCTCCTTTTTTTGTAGGGTCTTCTCAAGCATCCCATGTATTAGCTACCTTAGTGTATGCAGCAGCAAAATTTGATGCTCCTGAGCTTATAAGAATGATTTTCGACTCCTCAAGCGGAGGCGTCGTCTTTCATGCTTACAAGGATAGGGCAAAATTGCCTGAGTCTGTGGCGAGGGACCATGGTAACGATGACACTGCAACTTACCTCGAAGAAGTAACCACTAGGTAAATGTTTAGTAAAACAAAACAAAAACTTTCAGCCTATATTCAAAGCTATTTGAATACATTATACCTGTTATCCTCTCTTCTAAGAATTGGACATGCTTCACTCGTTCGTTATATGAAGAATAAAAGTCAACATTCCCAACCCTAGTACCTCTTTTCCTCGTAGAGCTCTTGCATAGTTCACTGAAAAACGGTTGTTAATACCGAGCTCACTCCGACAAAAACAGCAAGGTCCACATTTACAAAGGAATTAGATCAAAGATTTCAACTCCTAAGTGTATATTTATTCTGTTCTTGTGCACTCGTCTTCGAGGACCTCCAAACTACTTTCCACTGCACATGATGTAGGCACTACTTTCATGGACGTAAGCTCACTACAATTTGTACTGAATGAATTACATTTTTTTTCTCCTGGAAAGATTTTATGAAGAGATCAAGTCTGGTAAGGAATTTAACCAGACAGTGGATTGGTTAGAACTTATAAAAGCTGCTGATGAAGCTCAAGCCAGTAAGTAGTCATTAAGTGGCCATTATATCTAAACTCTCGGGCATAAGTTGTTGTTACTGAACAGACGCACGACAATCAATGTTTTTCACGAGGCAATTTAGGAAATACCGAAGAATATTAGATAAGAGTCATATTTTCGACCACAAGCTTCTAGTTGATACCTAAAATCCGTAAAGCAATCCAAAGATGTAGAATGGTGCAAAAAACGTATGAGGTTCATATTCCTTTTGGACATCTTTTTTTAATGACCACGTTTACCTATATAGCTATCTCATCAGATCACGATAGCGAAGAAAGAGACAGAAATCACTTGGAAAGTAATCTCGTCAAAGAAAGTGGATATTCGGCTGATGTCGAATCATCGCCTAGTTTATCATCTGACTCCGAAAGCTCTGATTCCGAACGTCATACTCCAACCTCGCCCTATGAAGGTATTGATTGTCAGCTCTTTTGTAAGAATTGTTTCCCTATATAGAATAAGATGCTTTCCTAAATTTCCAGACGATTATCTGACTTCTCTTCCTTCAGCAAAATTTGGCAATCTCACTGGCAGTCGCGAATGCGTCACGGGCATTTGATGAGTGTCGTGCGTTAATGACCTCCATCTCCCTTCTCCAATATTTCGATTTCCCAACCTGGGAACATTGAAAATTGTTCTACGAAAAACAAATGTAATCTATTCGATAGAACTTAGCCAGTTAGAACGTAGGGAAACTGTTTCCAGCCACCCTAGATATAATCTGAGTTTCTATTAGGGGACTAAGAGAAAGTGAGTAGGTAAATATAGATACGTATCTCTTTTCACATTTCATCTCTATGATTGTAACTTTTAGTGGTGGAGATAATTGGGTTTTTTTAGTCGAAGACATTAGTAAAGTAATGTAGCCCTTGGTGATTAATAAAATTGACAATCTACTCTGGGCAACCATATCATGATAGAAGTATTTATTATATGTTGTATTTCCATGATAAATTAGGAGACTTTTATTATTCTGTTGTTTTTCCCTGCAGTCAAGACGAGATTGGCGAAGAATAGTACTGTTATAGCAGCTCATGTAGAACGCAATGTCATTCCGCCAGCTAAAGAAGAAAGTAGAGTCTTTCCATCAGCTGCTAGTGAAGGTGGTATATCACCATCAGCTGAAAAGGAAAGTGGTGTTACCCCATCAGATACCAAAGAAAAAGACATTACGCCATTAGCTGCTACAAAGAGAAATCTTACACCATCGGGTGAAAGAGAAATTAATTTCACACTATCAGCTATGAATGGAAATAATATGACGACATCAAATGCATGTGATAGTGGAGTCAAGCTATCAAATTCTAAGGAAAGTAACGTAACGCCATCAGCCGATGAAGAAAGCGATGTCACGCTCTTAAGTGCTGAGGGAAGTGCTGGTAGGTCATCACCTGAAGGAGAATGTGGTGGCACGCTTCCACCTGAAAGTGAAAGTGATGTCACGCTTCCACCTGAAAGTGAAAGTGATGTCACGCTTCCACCTGAAAGTGAAAGTGATGTCACGCTTCCACCTGAAAGTGAAAGCGATGTCACGCTTCCACCTGAAAGTGAAAGTGATGTCCTGCCATCAGCTGAGAGAGAAGGCGATGCTACGCCAGCAAACTTAAAAGGAAATACTGTCCTGTCATTAGCTGGGAGCAAAAGTGGCGCTATACATGCAAATTTAAAAGAAATTACTGTCCTACAATCAGCTAAAAGCGAAAGGTATGCTACGCCAATAAAATTCAATGAAATGAATGTCCCGCCATCAGCCGAGACGGATAGTAAAGGGAAGCTCGCAAACTCGAAAAAAACTACTGTGCCGACATTATCTGTGAGCAAAAGTGATGCCACGTCAGCAAAATCAAAAGAAAGTAATGTTCCGCTATCAGCCAAGCAAGAAAGTGATGTCACACTATTACCTAAAAGAGAAATTGTTGTCACGCCGTCAGCTGCAAATGGAAGTGATATCATGCTAGTAGCTGCTCAAGAAAATGTTACCCAGTCAGTTTCGGGAGAAAGTAACATCACGCCATCAGCTGAGAACGTAAGGGGTGTCACACTAGCAGTTGCGAAAGAAAGAGAGGGACCTGTCACACCATCAACTGCAGAAGGAAGTGGTGTCTTTTCATTATCTCACATAAGGAGTGTTGCCGCGCTATCAGCTTCACAAGACGTTGATTTAGTGTCATCGGCTGCTAAAGTTAGGGACCTCATGCCGTCAGCTACCGAAGGGAGTGTGGAATCTGACACTTTGAATGGTAAGAAAATTGATTATAACAGGTTTCTTTTCGTACATTTAGTTGAGGATAAGGGATACCTTCTTTTTTCAATGGTTGCCAACTGATGGGCATTAGACTTAATGCTAAAGGCTGGTTTTTAATGGCGACGGAGCCGGAGTCGGAGTCGTAATCAGAGTCGTGAGAGCGCTTTCGACCG